GCAGTTAAAGACTCCTTATTTATAGGGGCATTTTAACTGCAAAAAGGAGATAAATCCTTAAAATAAGGAATGTCAAATACAATCTAAATAAGAGACTACTGCAACACAAACACAATCCCATCCTTGTAAAATAATCTTTGATTAATATTTTGTGACTTTTTGTTAAACTAGTTAAGTATGCATGTGTTTTACACGTGGCAATTTTAAATGATGATAATGATAGTAAATCTAATTTTTTTTTATAAATTTTACGTATTTTTTTATTTTTTATTTTTATTTTTTATTAATAATCAGATGCAGATTGAAAAATCCAAATCTGATTACATAAACAATTATACAAATATGTGATAATTGAGTCAAGTTGTGATGTTTCAAGTATCATTGACAGGTTTATTTGTTTGGCTAGACTATTCTTTTTGTAATGTTTTATCTTTTTTGTTTATTTATTAAAAAAATATAAGATTTAAATATAGAAAATTAAATGAGGTGAAAAGTAGTAGCTCCATAATCTTATTCATATTTTTAATCATAGTGTGAATATAGAATTATAAATGTGTTCAATTTTCTATATATATATATTTTGTATTTCTATTTGTAAAAATAATTTTGGTATATCACACTTACTTTTTATTTAATATGATAAATATATGATATTAGACATGTGCTTAAATGTTTTTTGTAAAATTTATTTTTTCATTTTTACTTTTATATTTTATTAATTTTTATTAATTATTTATGACATTAAAGGTTAACACATTTGATCCAAAAGTTGAATTATTGATCTTCGGCAAATAGTAAAATAATTTCATCTTTATTAGTTCTAAATTATGTATTCCATTTTCATTATTAATAAAAATAACTCTCTTTTATTGCATTTATTTTTTTTTAATTTGATTAATAAAAATATCATAAATGTTTCTAATTTTTTTCTATATTTTTGTAATTTTCTATATTTGTTTCTATTTTAAAAATTTTATTACCTAACTATGACTTCATAGGTTGATCAATTTGATTTGGATGGTTGAATTGCTTACCCATTACTTGGATAAATAATGGTTTTATTTTTTGAGTTAGTTTTAAAATATACAGGTTTATATTGTTAAAAATATTGACATAGATCTAATTAGTAGCATTTATTAGTAAAAAATAACTTAAATATAGGATTTAATATGAGAAAATGGGAGTTAATATATTAAGTATAAGATTTAATGAAAGGGGATTAAATGAGGTGAAAACTAGAAAGTAATAATTGAAGTTACATTTTCAACCCTTATAATTAGAGATTGACTAAATATACACATATGAGCATTTTAGTAGTCGTTAAAACTATAATAAAACAACTTTTTTACCCTTTCTGAAACAGAGAAATAAAAGGTAATTTTAGTCTAAAACTTTTACTCTATATCTACACTTTTATATATAGTATAGATGTAGGTGGTACTTCACATAAACTACCAAATGTGTTTTTTGTTATGTTTATGCCTTGTTTCTAGTCATTTGAACATAAATTTAATGTCATTAATGTATTTTTAGGATTTATGTAATTCCCTCCTATATATATATATATATCTTATTTTGTGATACTCGTATTTAGATAAAAGATTGACTTTTCAACACTTTGATATGTGGAAGCAACTAATGGTGGCTCAGTTAAAGTTCTCTGGTTGGTTGTAATGGAAACTTACACTAGGGTTTGGGGGATGGGCTACCACTACCACTGTTGTATAGTCTCGATGAAAAAACAACCTTATATATAATGTGGAGAATTTGCCAATTGGCCCAAGTAACTGGTAAGGTCTTTTACTTTTGTTGTAGTAAAGAATAGGGATTGAAGTGGTAAGTCTTTCTTGTTTTATGTTGTCCCAACTTAAACTACAATTCATAAATTCCACTTGAAGCCTTGAAGTTAGTTGAGCAGTATAAGCCTTGGCTGTATGCTCCAAGCCTCCAGCCCCCTTTGGGGACCTAGGAAATGATGAATCTAGATTAGGTGCACCTCTTGATTGTGTGAGGGGCTACTCTACCAACAATAATGCCCCACTTCAGCCATCAAGTGTATAAGCTGGGCCTCACAAAGACTCCAACTTCTCACTTTGCATTGCATGTGTGGCTGGCGTGCACTATCATTATTTTAAGGGTTATTATGTTACTAGAATGTGAAATGTAGGTAGAATTAATAAATATTTCTTTCCCATGTATATAAAATAAAACAATGTATTACTGGATTTCGGAGCAGGACGGATCATCTTTTTTGGTGAAAAAACAAATTAAATGACCCTATTTTAGCTTGGATAGCTTTACGGCTTTACTGCCCATCTTCAGAAGCCCCTAGCTAGTAGTTAGTGTAGAGCATAGGGTTCATTTGCTTAGTTAAGTATTATTTTCTTCCTTCATTTTCATTATATTTTATTATTTTGATCAAAATAATTATATTAATTTCACAAGGTAGATGAAAATAAAAGTTTCATCTCTTTTTCTCTCTCTTAAGAAGAAAAATCAACTACTACATACACAATTCTGAGATGGCAACTGACTTTTGGATAGTGGGTGCGCGGTCAAGGCAGCAGCTCTTTGTTACTTGAAAAGCTTGCTGTTGTTGGTAGGTAATCCTGATTCTCACTCTCTGTTGCTTGAAAAATTGGCGCACTGTAACTTCAAAGCTTTGTGTGTGGGGAACACCAAATGAGATATGACCCAAGAAAGAGGGAGAGGGTGGTCCGTCAATCTATCACAAACAAAATAGAGGCGTACTTGCTACGCACTGTCCCTATATACATGCAATAACGAAGCAAATTGCGACTACATTCAGCAACCACAGTCTTATTATTCTTGATCTCGACCTTATACGTACATCTTATTATATATTTAAAACATTTCCTGTACTTATAAATTATTATTCATGGGAGATGTTTCGAAGCCCCTGTGTCCTATGCATCCAATGAGAAAGAGAGAGAGGAAAATAATAAAATCCAAACCATCAGATTCTAAATTTAAGCATTAATTCTCGGTTAAAATTAAAAGAACTAAATGACTCTTAGGCCACCACTCATTTTGGCTTTGACAATTCGTGTTTTGTGGGGCATGATGACTGATGGTTATTTGGGGATGCCAAGAGAAGATGGCACGTGGATGAGAACACGTGGGATATTCGTCTTGCTAGTTGCTACCTAGCTCAACTAGCTACTTTTTTTTTTAAAGTTAATTTGCCCTTGTTATTTTCTATGAATTTTTTAAGCAATAAATATAATGAATTATTCATCTATGAATTTTATTTTATAAAATTATTAAACAAAGATGACTGACATCTATAATCCTCCTACGTGCTTCATGGTGAAGTGTGTCCTTCTACATGTTTTTTGTAAGTAAATTAAGTAGTAAAGGACAAATTAGGTTTCCAATGCTGGCTTGTGTACACAGAACTAGTACCAAGTAAAAAAGCTTAATTTATGTAAATACTGTGGGCGCGTGAATATGAATAATGTGTATAACCAAGGTGAACATGCTTTCAATTAAATATCTACATCTGCAAATTGACTGGATGTCTGTAATATTTTATATTCCTATTGTTTTACAAATTTTGTTTATCCGTGGATATGCCAATTTGGCTTAATTATATATTATATACCCATTTGACACACATAATTCCTATGTACACGATAGCAGCTGAACTTGTATACTTTATTAGATGAAACATTGAATGAAGTAAATATTTGTTTTCTAGCCATTTGATGGAGCAGACATGAAGATGGGTAAGAATGGCTCAGCTGTTTAGGGAAGGGATGAAACATTGCATGCATATATCATGGAATCTATATCTGGTTCAGGTTTTGACCTGATCCTGAATTCCTGATTCTGTTATAAAATGGGCATTTATGATCCGGTATGGATTTTGGGTAAATCTGACCCATTCCATGCCCCACTGGTAGGGATCGTTGGATGTCCTACACAAATCACAATTGGGACCGGAGAGCCCTCATGAGGTGTTGTTTTATTCTATCTGTCGAGGCGATGGATCATGACCGATTGAATGGAGCAGATTTGACCCATGGGTAAAATACCCAACTTTAATTTCACCGAAACCCAAATCCACTGTCCCCATGCATTAAATTCCTATTTCCCACCCGGCAAGGCAACATCACTCATGGACTCAATGTTTATTCTAATCCGATGGTTGATAGCTCATTTGCACGTGGCCATGTGATCAGGTGCCTTTTACGTTGGAACTAGATATTTTGGGCACAACTAAAAAGGCCAAATTCTTACCCCGGATATCACTGTCGTCTCATGAACACTAACTAAAAAAAGAGAAACCTTTCAAAAAAAAAAAAAAACTAAAAAAAGAGAAAATACCAAAAAAATAAAAAAAAACCGAAAGAAGAGAAAGGTCGGTACCAAAATATCTCAAGGGTATTTCAGTCAATTGAAGCAGGGTATTACTTGTTCCCATTGAGCGCGGAGCCAGAGATAGTCAGGTAGACGGTCACGGAGACTCGGCTGCAAGGACTCCTACAATCCGATTTATTCGGATTGGATGGATATTAAAGCCTGCATCCGTTTTGTGATAAAAATCCAAATTGGATTAATTGTAATATAATAATAGATATAGATATAGATTAATAGATATTAATAATGTATATAATCCAAATTGGATTAATTGTAATATAATAATAGATATAGATATTATATATAGTATTTTATATTTAAATACATCTTTATGTATTTTGATAGTTCAATAATCAAGTCGGATTCGGCTGTATCTGAAACTGATCCAAATCCGACATTACAGCCTTCACGGAGACTCTGTCTGCTTTTGAAGCCTTTTCCGTCGCTTGACCGTTTCATGCTCACGTTTCTCTTGTAAGGAAATGCATCCACCTGTGCGTGGTAATCCGAGCATAATTCCTGGTTATTGGATTGTTTTAAGGTGATAATCAGAAAATTTAATGAACTGTTCTGTTTTCAAGTGTTAATAAATCCTTCTTTAAGTGACAGACATTTCTTAATCTTTTTTCCTTTATCGTGCATGGTATCTCCATGGTTTCTGCTATAAAAGCTATGTTTTGCCTGACTGTGCCTTCCCCGAGAATCTAAATCTTCTCCATCATCTAATCTCTATCTCGAGTTCTTTTGTTATCTCCCCATGTTCTCCTGTTGAAGGCTTTCTATTTTGGGTTCTTAAGGGACTTGCTAGTCATGGAAGCTGTTCTGCAGACAAAAGGGCTTTTTTCCCTGCCCTCAAATCCCAAAACCAAATTTTTAGGCTCACCACAGTGTTTCAAACGCCGGTTGAATGCCAGAAACGATAGAGCTCTTGGTGGGTTTTCTCTGTCTGTTGATGGGTTCCAAAAATTTCATGGGTTTGTGTCAAAAACTCATGGCTTATATAAGAAGGGAAGGGGCTGGCAGATTTACAGGGCAGAAGCTGCAGCTGCTGCAGATGGGCAGCCACTGATTGGTGAAGTGGAGCAGCCCAAGTTTTTGGGTATTGAGCTCGTAACCCTTAAGAAAATTATCCCACTTGGGTTGATGTTCTTCTGTATCCTCTTTAACTATACAATTCTGAGAGACACGAAAGATGTCTTGGTTGTGACTGCTAAAGGCAGCAGTGCAGAGATTATTCCATTTCTGAAGACTTGGGTGAACTTGCCAATGGCCGTTGGATTTATGCTCTTGTACACCAAGCTCGCTAATGTTTTGTCAAAGCAGGCTCTCTTCTATACTATCATTGTTCCCTTCATTGCTTTCTTCGGGGCATTTGGGTTTGTTCTATACCCCCTTAGCAATGTCTTCCATCCCACAGCACTTGCGGATAAGCTTTTGGCGGCGCTTGGACCGAGCTTCCTTGGCCCGGTTGCAATTCTTAGAATCTGGAGTTTCTGTTTGTTCTATGTCATGGCTGAGTTATGGGGTAGTGTAGTGATATCGGTTCTGTTCTGGGGGTTTGCCAATCAGGTGACATACTTATCCTCTAGCTCTAACTTTCCGTTGAATGTCTTCTGTTTTTTTTTTTTTATGGGGGGGGGGGTTACAACTGAATCTTTGATTCTATCTGATTGCTTAGGGGATTCTGCTACATCCTTCTCTGTTTTGGACGCATTTAGCATCTAAATAGGGCTTCTTTTAAATCGTTATCGTTTATAATTTTTGGTTCCATGGCCTGATTCCTTGTTCTTTTGATTATATATAGACTGCTCAAAGGGGTGGTGGTAAGGTTTTGATTGATTATTTGATGTGGTTTTGTGTTTGTTATTGGGACCTTGTTGACAGGATTATTTGTGTTTTAGATTCTTCACTCTCAGCCATCTTTGGTGCCTTTTTGTTATTCATGTTGAGACGAGTATCCCGCTTTATAGATTGGATGTCAATGAGTTCTTTTCATAATTTTAATGTAATGTTTTGTACCCTTGGTGTTTCATTGGAGCAAAGCTAAAATGGGGAAACAATTATTCGAAGTTCTTAATATAGAATTGGTTCCTTTTTAATTATTTGTCCTGTGGATTTTGATGGTTTCTTTGTTACCAGAGATTTTTGTTAGATTCTTACCAGTGCTGAAGATTGCCATATGAAGTTAGTTTTTAGTGTATATTAGGAAGATTTTGACTTACTAATGTCTAGGCCAAGAACCAGAGGCTCTAATAGTAATCAGTTCCTATGAAAGAATAATTGTTACTTAAGCGCTTCTTTTAGCAGCTTGGTTTTGTAGGTTCATGTCCAGATGACTTCAAAGGGTTTCTTCTTTTTCTTTGCTGGGGGTGGGTGGGTGGCAGCTTCCTCTCTCACAAATAAAAATGAAAGGTTTTCTAGTTAGCTTTTTCCCTATACACCCTTCCGTCTTCTGCCATGTAGATGGATAATGTGGTTTGTCCAAGCCATACACCACATAGGGGACTCTATGGATTGGCTACATGCCAGCTGCTATACATGACCTTGCACTTCTTGCACTGATATTTTTTTTTTAACTGAACTTTTCGCTCTTTGAGTGAGTTGTATTTCTGAATGAATTCACCGTTATGAGTGATAACTTCCCTTTAATGGTTGTGTGTGTATTACTATTTCACCATGTATTTGAATGACCTTGGAGATGCATTTATGTCATTTTCAAGTCATGCCTATATGTCCCAAGTACTATAAGTATCATTGCAACATACAATTCTTTTTTGTGCCAGAATGCTTCTGTATTTTCCTTAATTTAGTTTCCTGGTTCATATCTGAAGTTTGGTGGAGTTGCCACTGATGTCTTTTCTTGCTTTTTGGTGCAGATAACTACTGTTGAAGAAGCCAAAAAGTTCTACCCATTGTTTGGTCTTGGAGCCAATGTTGCCCTTGTGTTCTCTGGTCGAACAGTTAAGTTCTTCTCCAGGCTGAGACAGAGCTTGGGCCCTGGAGTTGATGGTTGGGCCATTTCCCTCAGAGGAATGATGAGCATTGTGGTGATAATGGGGCTTGCAATCTGTGCTCTTTACTGGTGGGTGAATGCTTTTGTTCCTCTTCCCACCCGTAGTAAGAAGAAGAAGGTAAGCCTTGAACATTAAGTGTTGGTGCTTTCTGTGTATCTGTTTGCTGTGGTTTTCTTTATCATATGAAATGCAATCTTTCCAGACAATTCAAGGTCTGAAGTCTACAGATATGGATTTGCTTTCTTGCACATGATCTGACATGAACAGGATCTGGATTAGCCACATGTAATAGGCCCTTGTTCACTCAATCCCACATTTAATGCAGTAGTTTGCACTTCCCCCTTAGAACAAAAGATGGTTCCTCCCTTCTTGTGGGATGGGATATGGACATTTTGTGTTAGCTTGCAAGATATAAAGAGGGACATGGGAAAAGTGTGGTTCCATTTTTTTTTTTCTGTTGGCTCATCCAGCCCGCCATGATCTGTAAAAACCATATTAAACAGTATCAAGAGTGAGCCCTGGCTGGGCTTCCAGGCCTATAACTTTAAAATATAGATTCAATATATGTAATATTTTATATTATATGACATAATATATGTATACAATTTATATTATTATATAATATAATACGTTTTTTATTGGTAACCATATATAAAATATTATATAATATGTTTATTGGGTCCAGCCAGAAGCTTCCGGGTTGGGCTACAATGATCACCCCTAATCCAGAGCTTGATTTGTCAAAACAGCATGCATGATCTTTTATTACAGAATCAAGATTTTCAGAATAAAGGTATAATATGCAAAGATTTCGGAAATTGGATCCTAATGATCCCCAAGCCGATGAACAAGTAGGTATGGTAGCAGGCATTTTTCTAAGTGGGGTCTTGTAGGGGGGTGCTGCCCACATGACCTACCCTATCTGACATGCACCCAGTTTACATGGATGAGAAGACAGGAATCAGAATCTGATGCATGCTCAGGAGTCTGGTTCCTTAAAAAGGACTCATGGGCATGCCTATGGGAAAAGCAAAAACTATTAAAATAATGTTTTTTTTTTCAAATTTTAACATTACGTATCCATAAAAAATGGTCTGGAACTTTATCTTTGTTACTTATCTTTGTTACTTAATGGTGGTTTCTATAAAAAAGGGCATTCATTGCGTATATTAGCTATTCATTTATCAAATAAGCAAGACTGTGGAATATAGGAATCTGATGCTTGTCTGACATGGGCACTTAATCTACTTAGGAGAGTCCATGCAACACTAACCGTATCCCAACATCCTGCATTTCTTGGTGTTTTTCATGGAGTGACATTAACTCTCTGCTGTTGTTGTTGTTGTTCTTGCTTCTTTTTAGTAGAGGATTTCCTGGATGCATGTAATGGTTTTTTTACTAGTGTTTCATGAATAGAGGAGAATTACACATGGGGCCATTTTGGGCACTCAACCACCTTGTCATATGGTAGATTTCTGGGTTGTTTAGACTTTTTCCTGAACAACCCAACTGGAAGATGACTTCCTCATCCTCTTTTTTCCTATCATCATCAATAAAAACAACCTAATAATTGCTAATAGTAATATAGTATACTGCAGCTATGATTCATGTCCTATAATTATAAACATAGAGGATGGGAAACTTGGGCGAGTTTCTGGAGGTCAATGGTCTTGATGCCTGATGATATATCATGTAATATTTCAAACCTGGGGATCTTGTATTGTATCATCTCAGTCATTTCATCTGACTCCAAATTGTGTCTGATATTTTTAAGACCGAGTATTGCAGCATAGGTATTTGTTACAGTGTACTCAAGCAGGTGGTTAGTAGTCTTGCATAATCTTTCTTAACAACACAATTTGTTTCCTTGGCAGGAAAAGCCCCAAATGGGCACAATGGAAAGCTTGAAATTCTTAGTATCCTCTAGATACGTCAGGGATCTAGCTACATTGGTTGTTGCTTATGGTATTAGCATCAACCTTGTGGAGGTTACATGGAAGTCAAAACTCAAGGCTCAGGTAGGTGAACTTTGCTTCAAACGCTTCTTTCTCTGCCTATATTCCAGGCAGTTGCATCCATCTCTTACCACTAATTTTCCTCAAACTGTGCAGTTTCCTAGCCCAAATGAATATTCATCCTTCATGGGTGACTTCTCAACTGCCACTGGGGTGGCAACCTTCACAATGATGTTGCTAAGCCAATGGATATTTGACAAATACGGGTGGGGAGTTGCTGCCAGGATTACACCAACAGTTTTGCTTCTCACAGGAGTTGGCTTCTTCTCTTTGATTCTGTTTGGGGATCCACTTGTCCCTGCAATGGGGAAGCTTGGGATGACTCCTCTACTTGCAGCTGTGTATGTGGGCGCTATGCAAAACATTTTCAGTAAGAGTGCAAAATACAGTTTATTTGATCCTTGCAAAGAAATGGCTTACATCCCTTTGGATGAAGATACCAAGGTATGGGGATTGAAAATTCATGTCTCTTCCTTGCTTTTACGTTTCCTTTATATTTTATATTTTCCCATTGTTAACTTGGTACGTTATTTGCATGTTCACAGGTAAAAGGGAAGGCGGCCATTGATGTTGTCTGCAACCCATTGGGGAAGTCGGGAGGCGCCTTGATCCAGCAGTTCATGATATTGACATTTGGGTCACTTGCGAATTCAACTCCCTACCTTGGGGGAATATTGTTGGTGATTGTTTTTGCGTGGTTAGCTGCAGCAAATTCTTTGGACACCCAGTTTAATGCCTTGCGCAAGGAGGAAGAACTTGAGAAGGAGATGGAGAAGAGAGAAGCACTTAAGATACCAGTAGTTGCTAAGGAGGGAACTAATGGGCAGGCCGGAGTTGGAAATGGACCACTGGCAAGTGGATCAGCACTTGATCAGGCAACAGGGGATGCTTCCACTAGTTCATCTGGCTCTTCTACACCCCGCAGCATCCAATAAATTTCTTTAATCATTTCGTCTTACAAAAAAAAAAAATGCAGGGATAGTGGGATATATTCTTAGATTAGATTCATTGGTAGGATTAGAACCATAATTTTATGGATGAAATAATCAGATCTCAATCAGATATGCAACTGATTATTTTAAATCCCTTTTTGGTAGGAAATAAACTGAATATCTATTGAAGCAGGTATACAACTTTTTCTTGTTTGCATTGGGTGTTATAAATGTCAGATATCATGCTTTAAACCATTCTAACTTGGAAAAATGTACTAGTGTACATTCACTGACTAAGCTTTTGCATGTCGAGAACTTGGTCTACATATTGCCCAAGCACACAAGGGCTGTTTCCTATCATAAAACCGTTTTGGACTTCTTGCTGTCTGTGTTCCTGTGGTTTGGTTTGAGTTGTAATCTCTAACCATGAAAACATGTATCAAGGATTAGCCTAGTAACCTACACGGCCACAAAATTTGGAGCACTACAAGCCAGCATATACACCGTTTGGGAAACAATTTTATCAACTGTGGCCTCGGGCCGTGCGAACTTGCAAGAGAGCTGCAGTGTAAATTATCCTTAGAAGTTGGAATTCTAGATGGAAGAGGGTATTCATTCTTCACCAAGGATGGAAGAGAGTCCCAAAACCAAATTATCCCTGGATTTTGCTTTGGTAGGGAAACATGGTTAGGCATAACACAAATTATCCTTGAACTGCAGATATTACATCAAGGTAAGTATATTATGTAGAACCAAAACCAAAGTATCCCTGGATTTTTTTTTTTGGTTTTATTTGCCAAATGGTGAGCCCAAAATCCCCCTGTTAGAAAGAAATGCATTGTCTGATGATGTATTGATATGATACTCCTACTTAGGGCTCAGTATGTACAGCTTAAATACATAAAAAATAACACAAAATATAAGGTTTTACTTTGCTTCTACACTTATTTTGTGAAAAAAGGCATTTTAGAAAGTTGGGGTGTAATATTTTGTTACTACATAAATAAAAAGAATGATGAAAGTGCTTTTTTCTAGATTAAGTGAAATGGGCAATGGGAAGCCTTATTAGCAATTCTTCCGAGTATTGAAGTGAAATGGGATAGTTTGCCCCCTACATTTCTTGACTTGATCTCCTGGATGCTCCTATTTATGGTATTTGGGATAAGAAAGCAACTGTTGGAGAGACATTGGAAGAACCCCAGTTCAACTTCAAGGTTTCAAAGGCCTCTACAGACTACAAATTAACCAGCCTCACAAGTTTACTTTGGCATCTTAAACGGAGCTGCAATTGCAAGTTTGCAACCGAATTATGGTTATATGGTCAATGTGATTATTTGATTATAAAACAGTCTAGATTTTTTTTTCTTATTCATCCCAAAGAAAGAGACAGAAGGAGAATATTAGTCCATTTGAGATGAAATGATTTCATTTTGGTTTTTGATGTATCCTATTTACCAAAAATAAAAAAAAGGCAGTCTTTAAGTTTTTTGTTCCACTGTGTTCAACCCAAAGAAAGAGATGCAATCGGAAGACTATAATCCATTTGTGGCGATTTGATTTAATTTTGGTTTTTTACAGAAATCAGTTTTTTTTTTTTTTTGTCTTTTTTGAATTTGGACAAACCATAGAGTTCTAAATGCTGATACGAATATATTAAAATCAAACTATTTAAATTCGTCCGATAAAAAGAGTTTTTCTTGTGGGTCTGAAAATCATTCATTGGTGTTAAGTCACAATATAAAGATAAGATAAAATAATTAATGACCGAAAGGTGAGACTTATAATCAATGAGAGGAAGTTGGTCAGGAATCTATTTTTAAACACAAATTTCCTTTCTCAACCCCCCCCCCCTTTTTTTTTCTGGGGTAGAAACTCAACTTTCTGTTTTTCTCTTATTTTATATAAAACCTAATGTAACCTTGAATCATTTCTCGAATCCTGTATCATATCAATCTCATCAATGGCTCACTGCCATCGGTCAATGCATTATAATTCTACAGTTATTCTTCACAAGCAACAGAAAATCAATCTATTCCAGAAGATGACTCTGTGGGGCTTAAAAAAGGCTATCTATTTGATGTTGTGGTGGTCCAAATATCTCTCACTTTATTTTTTCTAAAAAAAAGGAAAAAATAAATAAATATAACTTTACATATGGTAATGACAGGGAGTGGGAGTTCTTTTTATCCACTTCCTTTTCATGTATTGGCAATTGGAGTCCGGATCTCCTGTTCACGAGAACTCTGCCCATATTTATTGCAGCCACATATGGAGAATATCTCTTCCTCTGCATAGTATTATGCAGGGGGAGATGTTCCCAATTCATGGGGGGTAGTGTATTGTGGGTAGACATGGGCAGGGTTCTCGTGGGCAAGAGATCCGAACTCTGGCAATTGGTGTAGAGACCATTGCCTTTTCCTTTTCCTTTTCTTTTTCTTTTCTTTTTTCTTTTCTTTATTCTTATCTTTTAAGATGCTGCTTTGGTCCTTGGGTTAACGGTAATGAGTTCGGGAATGCTGGCCACAAGATATTACAGTTGCAGGTCCAAAATATCTTTCCATGAATGACAATATAAAATACAAGATAGGTTCTTGATGTATGATTCTAGGGGCTTGTGGTTGGCAGATCCAGACCTAATATAAGTAGACCTGTTCATAGGCCGGACTTAGACTTGCTTTTGCCAAAATTTGAATACAATGTAAAGTTAGGCCCATAAACAGGTCTAATACCAGGGATGCATATAGGACCCATTGCCCATTGGTATTAATCTTGTAGAGAACCTACACTTCTGCAGGTTTGAATCCCATGCCTTCAAAGAAAGAGGTGCTGAGTTACCAAGTGAATTACTGGGTCATTCATTGGCTCATACTCATAGGGGTCATTGGTTGGTGGAAGGATAAAATGTCAGTCTGATAAACTTAAAAATGTAGATTTAACTGGGGCTGTTTGATAATGGTTTCAGATGTTAAACTGAAAAGCAATAAGTCTTGAAAATAAATTTTTAATGAAGTCGTGGGTTATTTAGCGACTGAATCCAAAGTTGAATGGATCATTGTACCCTTGAAAATAAATTAAGCAACAAGTCTTTCAGTTTAGCAACTTCAATTATTATCAATGTCCCCTTAACCAATGTTTTAAAAATCGATCCGATTCGGAACCAAAACTGCTTTGACCACCGGTTTTTTAATCAATAATTTGACTGTTCAGTTCGAATGGGCAGAGTCCATTCTGATTTAAAAAATAAAAAGAAAACTGTTGTCTGGATTGATCAATCGACGGTTCGACCACCAGATTAGTAGGTCGCTGACTAAGCCAATAATTTTTGGCCCAAGAACGATTTTAGGGTAAAACATAATCAACTGTCTGAACAATTCCTGGGTCAATCAGTCCGACTATCCAGCCCAGTCCGATTTTCAAAACCTTGCATTCAACAACAACATGCCATGCCCAAAGTTAGGTCCACGTGGGATCCACCCCTCCCAAGACTCACCGAAAATTGGCTAAAATGGCTTGTCATACGCATGTCTTTCACAAATTCTATACTTTTGGTATCACCGTTGCAATGACATAACAACACCGACCATACCCACCCAGTGGCTTGGCTTGTATGGGATTGGGATAGGGGTACAACCCAGAAAGTGCATCATGGGCCAAAGATTTGGAACATTCTATATGGGCTTATTACTCACTTGTTGCAATAGATGCTGGGTCCACTTGCACTTGGGACCACTAGACCAGAATGTTCCAAACACGAGAAGAAGACTTGGAACACAAAGGCCAAAGCTTTTTTATGAAGCGCATTAATTCTAGTCTCAGCTCAATGCTTGGACAAAAATTTGCTTCAGCAGCTCATCGGAAATTGTAACCAGTAACCACATTGTTTGTACTCATGCTTTGAACTTTGAAGATTGAAAGAGAGCACTGCACAGTATTCTGTACTCTGGTCCGTGGGTCGGATATATCTTGGGCCTGGTTATTGTAGGCCTTTTATCACTCATGGCGATTCTTTTTTATTTTTTTCTTCTTTCTTTCTCAGGAAGAAGAAAAACAATAACAATATCTACTTTAGCTATTCAATTTCGACTTTGGTTGCCATATTCATTGGTTCTACAGCAATCGCGTTCAGTTTTCAGCTAATCTGATGTTCCATAGATATGAATGTGTGAGGCTCTGAAAGGCAGTCTGGACTCTGGTGTCTGGATTGCCCCAGCAATCGCGTTCTTTTGGAGTCTCCTTTCTGCCAAATATTTGTAAATCCCTCATCAATAACTAGCTTGATTGATTTCCATGCTGCTCTGACCAACCTTAAGTATCGCTTCAGGACCACAGGTTGCTCCATTTTGATCTCTCGCTAGTCGCTACTAGACCTGTTCATGGGCCCACTCAAGAATAAGCAAAAGCTAAGCCCGATCCCAGCCCATGAACAAGTCTGCTCGCTACCATTCCAATTGCTGCATGCCTGCATCTCCATCCTCTCCCAGTCCCACTGAAACATCTCAGTTGATCATAATTTTCAGTCTGGGGACTTCCATTAAACCATTTGCATGCTTATTTCACTTTCTTCCCCACAAAAGGAAGACTATATTCTCCCTATCATCATTCCAACTGATTCCTCTTCACCAACCAATTACTGATGCATTCACCTCAGGCTAAATCCTGAGGGATGAACTTTGCAACATCTCAAAAGTTATGGCCATGCAGCCAGGTTAACAAATCTACTTTGTACCATCCAGTTGTATGAACAAGGTATAAAAGACAAATTCAAGTTCACGTGGATGTGCTTATTACAGTTAGCATACAAAAGTATGATTTGGCGAGTAGGCCAATTCTGTTGGACATGGAGATGTTCATTGATCTTCAATCCAGTGTTCAGAGAATTGGTTACAAAAACTGATCCATGAACTATTGTTTAGCTCAACTTGTTCAGATGAGCAAGATCAACTGTGCATGTTGTGATTCGATGGAATACTAGAACAAATCAAACATGTGCACTTATTGAACAGACAGTAGCCAGTAGTGACTTAGCACTCTTCTAAACAGTAAACACTGACTGAGCATCACGGGTGCCGATTAGGTTTCCAGGTTTCCGGACATTTTGGATTCAAAGGAAAAGTCATGAACACATGCCCATACACAAACACACAGCAAGATAGATAGAGAGAGAGAGAGAGAGGACAAGTGTCTCATTAAATGCAAATATACCTCATGCAATGAGACAACATAACTCTCTGTAAGGACGTGATGGAGAACAAAATTCCATTATAACAATAACCAAGATTGACAGGGACTTTGAAACGGGAGACTCTGTTTTCATCCAATTCTTCCTAGTTTCAACGGTAAAGAAACCTTTTGATTGTAAAATTCCAAATTGGTCACCTCGTTTTTCTGTAATAGCATCCCAGCCAAGAGGACATATGACGTGGTGGATTTATAGGATATTTCAGTCATTTCGGCTTATGAGCCTATGGTGTGTATTCTCTGGAACCTTACCTTTTTCTACCCTGTTGATAGTATATAATGTAATATGGGTTCCTTCAGAAGGACCACTCAGGAGTCAGGCCCTTAAGGCTCTTCTTCTAGTCCTCTGGGTTCTCTCTCTCTCTCTCTCCACCAGAATGAATAAGCTTACGTTGCCGGATTCTGATGCCATGACCAGTAAGCCGACGACACAACTTGGAGCTGAATGCTGGTTCGATGATGCATGTATCTTGGATATGGACTACTTCGTTAAGACCCTGTCTAGCATTAAGGCCAAAGGGGTACGTCCAGACCTCATCGGTTCAATCATAGCCCACCATGCTTCTAAGTGGCTCCCTGATTTGTCGGGCGATGCAGTGAACAGGGTTCTCACTCATTTGGAGGAATCGCCAGGGAGTGTCACATCCTTATGGATGAAGAAGAGATTCTTCATCGAGACTCTCGTCGGAATTCTCCCACCAGAGAAAGACTCTGTTCCATGCAATTTCCTGCTGCGACTCCTCCGCACAGGCAACATGGTCGGAGTTGAACCAGCTTATCGAGCCGAGCTTGAGAAAAGGATAGCATGCCAGCTTGACCAAGCGTCCCTCAAGGAGATCATGATTCCAGCCTTTAGTCACACATGTGGGACCTTGCTAGATGTTGAGCTCGTTCTCCGGGTGGTTAAGAGGTTCATCAATTTGGATCATACGGCCAAGAGTGGAGCTGCTTTATCCAAGGTGGCGAAGCTTGTTGACAGCTACCTTGCAGAAGCTTCTCTGGATGCCAATTTGACATTGCCTCACTTCGTTGCTCTTGCTGGAGCTTTCCCCAGCCATGCCCGTGCCATGGATGATGGGTTGTATCGAGCTATCGACACCTATCTGAAAGTAAGTAATTTATAATTTCACAAAGTGGACCTAAAACCAACTATAAATACTTGATTCTCATTCTCTAATCAAGTAAATTGTAAGGTCCCAACTCCCCATTGCCAAGACCTAATGCATAACATTGCTATAAATGGCCGCATCTTCATATTTTCAGTCTAGCAGGTCCAACACAACTTACAAGCTGGTCTTGGCATTGTAGTCATTTTCTTTTATATTTAACCAGCAAATATAGTTTAATTAATTTAAAAGGACAGTATTACATTTCTTTATTTCTTTCCTTTAATTTTTGGGTGTTGAATATTACATCAATTTTCTTTCCTCTGTGTATAGTCTCTGTTCTTGCTTTGGAAAAAACTTGTCCATAATTAGCTTCACAAGTTGCTCCTACTGTTTTCAAGAAAAAGTAGGGAATCTTTAGGGTCATTAAGAGGTAGTGGTTATTTTCTGTACCAGCATAAGATTCTCTAAGAAGCCATAGTACTCCAGGGCAATGTCTACGCAAGAATGACAAGAGTAGCCCAAATTGTTTTTTTGTTTTTTTTGTTTTTTTTTTGTTTTTGCAGATGACACGTGAACTTTGGCAAACCAATGGGTGGCAACATGAATTTACCTCAGAAATCTGGATGATTTATTACATTAGATAGAAGCTTTATAATAGAAGTGTCACCCTAGTATAACTCATGAATTTCATGTCTATTTGCAGGCACACCCAGGCCTGTCGAAGCAAGAAAGGAAGAGTCTTTGTGGATTAATTGACAGCCGAAAACTATCTGCAGAGGCATCACTCCATGCTGCACATAATGAGCGCTTGCCTGTCCGGGCTGTAATCCAAGTGCTCTTCTCCAAACATGTCAACCTCAACAATCAGCTTGATTGGAGTGGTTCACTTAGTGAATCACGAAGTCCAAATCCTGTGGCTGAGCCTCCAGTGCGGTGTATGTCAAAACGCGAAATGACAATTCAGCAGAGTGAGATAAAGAGATTGCGTGAGGATGTTCTTAGGCTTCAAAGGCAATGCAACTCCATGCAATCACAGATAGATAGGCTTATGGAAAAGAAGAAGAGCTTCTTTAAATGGAGGAAGCTAGGAGGGCCTTTATTCAAACCTCTCAGTGTGGGGGATAGGGTTGAGGAGGCTGAGGGAGAACACCTCGGGTTTGGGCGTCAAACACCTATGGATATGAAGACAAAACTGGTGCAAGGAAGAACCCCTCCCAAGTGGAGGAAATCCATGTCTTGAAGGACAGACGGCTTGGAAAAAGACCATTCAATCTAACCTGCTAATTATGCTGATGTTAGTTGGTTAGTTTATCTTTGTTTATTTGTTTCCTATATTTTGCTCTCTGTAATTTGCTCAATGAAATAGATAAACTAAATTGCAATTATAATCCCGTTTATGCTATGGAAAGTGTTAGAGCAGGCCAGCTTTCTTGACATTGAGGTGACTTAATTAGTCAATATGTTGAAGATTGTATGCAAGTAGATGAGGTTGTCTCCCTCCCAATGGATGTTCAATAAATTAATACAACAGGAATGCTATATAAGTTGAAATATTTATAGATCTACAAGAAAAAACATGTATAGAGTACCAAATCAAGAACATCACCAGAAGTCCTTGCATGAACACGACCCATCCCTAAAATGATGAAAGCGGTTCCTGTCTCGGACAATAATCTCCCGATTGTAAACCTTGGAGATGAACTTGGTTGCAGAGTGACAGTCACTACAAACACGGAGGTTCTTCACAATTCTGATAGACATCCCAGGCCATGTGCTTATGAGCCCATAGGAAATGGCTAGCTTCTCGCTATGGCGATTAAGGTTATTTTCCTTTTCCTCTTCATCCATATCAAGTAGCACTTCAGATTTGTTGGGCATGTATCCAGCTACCTTCAAGCGGCATAAGATGTCTTCCAACATCTCATATATCTTTGTGGATTGAGGGTGTGACACATCTCCTTTGACGAATTCATGAACAACACCATCTACTTCTATCAGACTGCACCCCGGGGGCTTCTTAATGTTCCGCTCTACCATGAGTTCCCTAATTCTTTTAGCGTCGTCCCACTTTTTTAAGGAGCTATATATATTGGATAAGAGCACATAGGTCCCTCCATTGTCAGGGTCAAGTTCTAAAAGCTTTTGAGCCGCTCTTTCTGCAGCCTCAAGGTTACCATGAAGTCTGCAGGCACCAAGAAGGCCTCCCAACACAAAATAATCTGGTGGCATGGGCATTTCTTGTATCAACTTCTCTGCTTTATCTATGTGACCTGCTCGGCCCAACATATCCACCATACATCCATAATGCTCTATACTAGGCTGGATGCCATAAACACTAGACATGGAATCAAACTGCAAGTGCCCTTCATCCACAAGGCCTGCATGACTACAAGCGGCCAATACACCAATAAAGGTGACTGCATCAGGTTTCACCCCACTATTTTGCATCTGGTAGAAAAGCTCCAAAGCCTTCTCCCCTTTCCCACACATTGCAAACCCAGAAATCAGGGCCGTCCAAGTCATAACATCTTTCTGAGACAACTCATGAAAAACTCTTGATGCAGTCTCTATGCTCCCACACTTTGCATACATGTCTACAAGTGCCGTCCCTAGAACTGTGTCAACTTCAATATTTTCCTTCTCAATATAGGCATGCAACCATTTTCCGATCTCTAGAGCACCTAGATGTGTACATGCCATCAATAAGCTCACCATAGTCACCTTATCAGGCTTTACACCCTTAAGTTGCATTTCGCGAAAAAGTAGCAATGCCTCTTCATAATCACTGTCCTCAACGTGTCCATTGATCATGATATTCCAACAATAGAGGTTTCTCTCAGGCATTCTGTCGAACAATTCTCTGGCCTCGGAGAAACTGCCACACTTGCAGTAAACATCCATAAGAGCGGCCGTAAGGACCAAACTAAACCCAATTTCATTTTCCTCCATATACCTGTGAACCCATTTTGCCATTTCCAAATTTCTTGCTCTCGCACAAGCACCCAAAACATTTAATAGAGTAACACCATTAGGCTTCACATTTTCAAATTCCATCCGACGGAAAAGCTCAAGAGCTTCAACAGGACAACCGCATTGTGCATAAGCATCAATCATGGTCGCCCAAGAAACCACACTCCTCTCGCTCATTTTATCAAAGACCTGTTGAGCCGAATCCAAATCTCTGCAATTTGAATACATATGCATCAATGTATTCTGAATATAAGAATCCGATGCAAAACCAAACTTGGTAGAATAGCAATGCAACTGCTTCCCCTCATTCAAATCACCACAGGATTTGAACAAAGAGGGGAACGTGAAATTGTCAGGGAGAAGACCTTCCTCGATCATTTCTCGATAGAAGAGAATGGCTTGGTGGGGAAAGTTTTTATTAGTGTAACCTCTAATTATGGAGTTGCAGATGAATGGGGTGGGATTGGAGATTTGGGAGAAGACGAGACGAGCATAATGGAGACTTCCAGAATCATCTAGAGCACAGAATGAAACGATTTTGCTCGCATAGAAGACGTGGAAGATGAGACCAGTTCTGATCATTTGGGCGTGGATTTGTTTGAGCTCCCACATATTGGAGCATTTCTCGAGAAGAACAAGACATGGGTGTGATAGAATCGGGTTGTTATGGTTGTTGGTTTTGCTGGTGGTGGTGGCGCTGGCTATGGCAGCGGCGGCAGCGCAGTTCCTTGAGCGGGTTTTCTCATAAACTGGAGATGGTCTCTGGTATTGGAAGACGAGAGGAGCAGCCATGGTCGTTTAGACTTATTTCTACTTGGAAGCGCTTCGTTCGAGTTTCGAGATTATAGCAGTTTGGATTTTGGAAGGTGGAACCGTTGGGTTCGGACCGGGTCCTCCCTGTCCCGAATTGATAAAGACCTCACCTGATATAAGGGTCTGGTTTGAGACCCAAAAAAATTCCGACTGATTCTAATTTCCTTATAGGATTGGAGACAGAGTCCACCTGGGTCCATCATAGACCCAACCCGGTTTATATCTATAAGTCTGAGTGGGCTGGCTGGCAAGAGTGATATCAACGAGCCCACACGATTTCAAGAACTATTCGAGCTCAGTTTGTGAAAACTTCAGTTTGGCTTGGTGTAAGTTGAGTTTGAGTCGGCTGCTTGGTGTAAGTTGAGTTTGAGTCGGCTCTTGAGGCTCGTGAGTTTAATCGAGTTTTTACACACATATACATACGTACATACATATATATATATATATATATATATTATAAAAGTTTATATGTATATTTTTTATTTTATAAATTGTTTATCTCACATTCGAGCTTGAGCTGAGTTGAATTTGAACTTACAAGCTTTTGATTAGAGCTGAATTTGAGCTCAAGTTTTCAGCTCGAACTCGAGCCTGGTGGTTTATTGGCGAGCCAAGCTCGAATAGCTAGATATTCAGCTCGGCTCAACTTGAATCCACCCCAAAGTGCCAATGAAGTGAGACTGTAAGAATTGATGCATGCCCAACTTCTTGCCTTAATTGAAATTCATGTTCAATGATGTATTCATTGTCTAGTGCTTTGGTCCATATTTCGACTATAACACCAGAAAGACATGATATCTGAAAAATGTGTGACCAGTCAATTGGTATCATAAACGTGTTAATCAATCATGTGGTGTTTATTAAAACTTATGGGTGGCTTTTCATTGGGTCAAAATTCTTTGGGTATCATGTCTTTTCAGTGTCATAGATTTTTATGTAAAGGGTAATTGATAATTTATGTGTTTTTTATATGTTTAATCAAATAAATGGAAATTTGGATATTTGTTCATAGTATTTTACTTGTTTATTATTTATATATGAGAAGAAATAAGGAAATTAGATGTGGGTTGTAGACCCAACCCACCAATCCGATCCATCTCACCCTCAAATGCAGAAAGAGTAGGGTTGAGAAGGGTTTGGATTTTGAAAATCCAACCTGCTACAAATTTTAGAGAGGGTTACAGGTTCGAAGGTCTAGGGTAGGATCTAAAATTTAGAAAATCCTCCCCATACCCGCTCCATTGCCATCCCTATCTAAAACTGCTAAATGATCTAAGAAATGGGCCAAGAGAAAACAAGGACATGATGGCCGGTTCAATCAATTACCAGAAACTTGAATTATCTCATTAATTCTTGGGACGGGGTCAGATTTCTGAGGTGGAGTGAACTATAAAAACCCCTTAATTCTTTTGCTCGGCGCCAGAACCTAAGCTTAATTTTGAGTCTAAGCACTTTCTTATTGGACGCATAATTGGCTGAACCAAGTCAAAAGCGTGCAGGACATGGGCACCAAAGGCTGGAATGGTTGATGGGATGCCTTTGAAGAAAAAATTAGAGCAATAAGAGGCCAATTGGGCTCTATAGATCCATTGGATAGGACTAGAGTTTGGCAGAGACTGGGCATTTGGGTCCAGTCAGGCCCAAGGAGCCCATTTGAATGAAATACTTCCTTTCCAAACACCCACTGGATTTATTTTCTTGATGATTTCAACTGGTTGGAATCCACCAACTTAAACTTTAACCCATTCTCTTCCCTTCATTTCTCTAGAAGAGAGGAAAAAAAAAAGTAAAAAACAAAAACAGAAACATCAAAAATCCCCCCAAAAAAAAAGCCGGTTTTAGCTGAGGGCTCACTTTCTCTCTTCAAAAGAGTACATCAATCTTCCAACATTAATAACAATCTATTCATAGCATCAATAGAAACACCACTTTAGGGAACCAAAACCCGATTCAATGCAAAAAAGAAAACCACTTTGCCAAGAAGTCAAATACATGCATCGACAGTTCGACACTATCAACATCAACACATACTATCATTCAAAAACTGCACATGAGTCTCCTTTTCTATTTGCTCATCAACTCTCTAGCCAATTCTGCCGACTCAAGAACAGCTTTTCTACTGAAGCCTTAGTTCCACAAGCTAAACCAAAGTAAAGAACAAAGCTTCTAAAAGTGTTCCTAAGAAAAAAAAAATCGTTTTTCATTTTAGTAAGTAGAAGTTAGTTCAGGAAATTAAGCAGCAGTAATTCATTTCTTGTCCTTGTAGATAAGAGAAGAGACTTTAAAGGACCCCAAATACATGAAACTCCCAATTCCCAATGAGAGGGCAAAAATCACTTCCACAAAAGGGATTTTAGTAAATAAATGGGTTTGCAGAATTCTAGAAGATCTTCCATTGAATGACCTTTTCACTAGCTTATCCTCCCTTCCCCCTTTCTCTAAATCTGGACCGAGCTTTGCCAGCTGGATCCGGGCTCGGGGCTCCTACCTATGTTCTGAAATGTAAAAAATGTAAATTTTATTTTGGGTTTTACTTTATTTTGTTTTATATTTTAATTTATTTCATTTATACTAAAATCAAACAAAATAAGCTAAAATTTAAAACAATAAAAGGCCAAAATTTACATTCAAATCATTTGCACTGCCATGATTTTTAATTTGCATTGCCATGATTTGCCATTCTTTCTTGCTCTGCATTTGGAATTTCAACTGCCCATAGTCACAGTACCTCTAAAATCTGGATGATCTCTCGAGTAGTTAACTATACATCCATTTTTTTATTTTCTGAACCATATATGATACATCTATGGACCAACTCCAACTGAACAGAGGAGGTTTCTACTTCCAGATTTATTTGCTTCAACCCAACATGTCAGTCTTGGGCCCAAATTAAGGATGCTTCATGCAATAAAAAAGGGCAACTCAGTGCACGAGACTCTCGCTAGTGTGAGGTTCGGGGAGGGACAGATGTACACAGCCTTACCCCTGTACACGCAGATAACTAGATAAGTTGTTTCTAAGATTTGAACCATGGCCACCCAGGTTGTAATGGAGCATCTCAACTGTTGCGTCAACACGCACACCCACATTTAAGATTTAGCACATAAATACAACTAAATCCTGATCTCTTCATCTGATTTGTCTCACCTATGATATGGCTTTTCCTTTAAGCATGTTTCCTGCAATCAGTTTTCTAAAAACTGAACCAGAGGACATTAGAAATTTGGTCATTTCTTCATCAGTTGGTATTTGGTAACCCGGAAAACCATGTTAAAACGACCCTAAGCTTATTCTAAGAGCTCACCTGGTTTTACAAACCACCATTTTCTTTGAAGAGAATGTGGGCACGAAAGCAATTAAAGTTCAAACACTCAGCAGAAGGAGAAGAGTCCCCTTACTCAGGTATACTATGTAGAATTACTAAAACACCCTCTACCAAACCCCATTTTCATTGTTATGGGGTGTGAAACAAGGGCAGACATTGGGGACAGAGTAGACTGCCATTTATGAGTAATGGAGTTGTTTTCCCCAGCTTGTTTACTGCCAGAGTTGAGTCAGTGGCTCGTGAGGCGCTTTTATTAGGTGGCCCCCGTTGATTGATCTCAGTCCCACATGAGTGAGAATCAATCTTTATGGTACATGGCTTGTTTGGGTCGCTTATCAAATCGCTTTCTTCTGTTGCTCAAAGACTAAAACGTGGGAGCCACCCTGTTGGAGACCATGAGACCAATTCAATAAATTCAACAAGGTGGGATTATTCCCAGAGTATTAATGTATTATCTCATTTTTACAGTTAAAAAAGTCAGGGTTCATAGTATAGTATTTTAATTGTAAAAAGGAGATAAGGCCTTAAAATAAGGAGTGCCAAATGCAACTTAAACTAGTTGAGAGCTTGAGATTGGGCCAAGATATTGAAAAGAGTATTCCGGATCAAAGACCGTGGGTCAGTCACTCGGTTTGGGTTGGCATGACCCCAAGGGCAAAGGCCGCTGTTACCCTTATGACAGGGATGGGATATTTATTGGGCTGGAAATGGGCCAAGTTGGGTTGGGCTGGAGATGGGCCCATAGCAACCCAATGTGCTGGTCCTGGCAATGGTGGCAAAATAGAAAGATGACTCTTCAGGGTTAGATGTAAAAAACATGGACAAGACAGAGGAATTGGGTAGTCTCTAGAGCAAATTAGTAACAGAAGTAGAGCAGCAAAGTAAAAGGATGAACCATATCCCACCCATTTCTTGTAGCCAGATAGAGGAATGACATGGAAATTAAATCCGGAGTGGCATCTGATACATAGTTGGGCACTGTATCTGTATGTGGATCAGTGCTGTTGTCTCTATCAGCCCTCTGACCTAATTATGTGGAATGAGCTGTTTCCTTGGTCACGCCAGCCATTGATGTTTCCAATAGTCCCTAATTGCAAAATGTGTAGAAAGAAGCGATGGTTTTGGCCACAATCCACATGGAGGTGGGTGGTGGGGCCTTAATCTTTCCACTTCAGAAGAGGGTAAAATGGTGTTCACACATGGAGCCCCATTGGGTGAAGGAAAAAGATTCTGGGCCTGTTAACCAAAGTAGGAATATAAGGCATTGGGTCATTTTGGGGTCTTGCTCATGCACCAACTGCAACACAACCACAACCCTGGACCCTGAAGGGCAGGACACTAGGACAATTAACTTTTTCTTTCTCCTCTTTTTAACCAACTTCTTTTTTCTTTCTTTCAGGTGCATTTGTGTATATATGAGAGAGAGAGAGAGAGAGAGAGGGTGGAATTAATGAATTATGAAGCAGAATAATGGGAAAATGAAAAGAAAAACCAAAGTCTCTCTGGGTCTGGGGGACCAAAACCAAGGATGAGAGAGTATCAGAAATCAGACGACAACATACTCGCTACTCTATGCTTTTAGTAACGTGACAATGTCAGCTAAAAGAACGGGACGGGCACATATCACCCACTTGGGGTGTCTGTCTCCAACACAGCATGTTCTCTTTAGGGGAATGCTGGTCCCAAGGTCCACCTCCACACAAACCCAAACCCCCCTCCTTCAAGAAAAGCCCTTCCCTCTCTGCTCTCTCCCG